ACTGTACTAAGGGCAAGTGAAATGAAGATCACCAGGGGGAATACTCCTAATTAATTTGACTTCTGTTCTACTAAGGCAAGCTTTTCCTGAGTTTTGGAGTTGTATCTACTTGCCTACTGCAGAGCTCCACTTGGATTGGCTATGGGATTTCAAACCCAGCATGTTCTAAGCTCAATTTACCTGTCTTAAACCTCTTCCTTCCTCTGTCTCCTTGGTTAGTAGCACAATAGTCTACCCAGAGAGTAACAATCCCCAAGACTTAACTTTTCTTTCTCAAGATCTTTTACTATTGACCTCTTTTTTTCCTCTAATAAATTCTTTAATTCGGGGTTTTATAATGTTAATCACTCAGTAAATATTGAGCCTTTACTCAGTGCCTGATCCTCTTCTAAGTACAAGGAGAGCAAAGATTGGAAGAAAATAGACGAAGTCTTGCCTGTTAGAGGAAGTGAGAAGGAGGGCAGTTGACACAGATGATAAGTAAATAATAAACATGGATTCAGGGGACAATTTTGGGAGTGATTTAAGACTGTCTGAAGAGGAAAAATTTAACCTAAGGCTTGCAGAGAAGGAGCCACTAGTGTAGGGTCTAAGACTAGCTCTGGGATGGGGCTGTGGCATGACGGGGAGGAATGCCCAAGGAGCAGTTGGCAGAGGTGAAACCATATTAGGATGCCACGTAAAGAAGTCTGAATTTTATATTATTTTAAGCATAATGGGAATTCTATGAAAGTTCCTAGGGACAAAGAAAAAATGTGATTTCAGATTTTCAAAAAGAACACTGTCGCTATTCTGGGAGAACAGGCAGTTGTAGGGGCAAAAGAGGAAATAGGGGTAACAGTTAAAAGACCACTGTGGTGGCTCATTTGAGATATCTGATGGTTGGACCAGGATGATGGCAATGGAGATGAGAACTTGATTAATGCAAACTAGAAGGTAGATCATTCGCGTCAACAATCCTGTCGAAGTTTCCCATCCTCTACAAAATGTGATCATGGACACTCATGGAACTCTGAATGCTCATGGCTAGTGGGCTATTTAGTGCCCCTATTTAGAGCACTTGGAGCTGTATGAATACTAAGGATAAGTTTTGTTTCCAAGTTTGTGTATACCAGCTTTACTTAAAATTAAAATTAAAAAAATATTTACTAAACAAATAATTAAACAGGTACAAAAATATCAATTCTAGTGAAAATCAGATCAACTGATTTGGAAAAGACTTGGTAAAAGGATAGGCAAGATTGGGGAAGAAAAGAAAAAAATAGAACATCCTGTCACAGATTCCTTCATGGGTCTCCAGTCTGCATTTTACAGACACCAAAGCTGCAATCTGAAAATGCATCAGGGGTATGGCTTACCAAGAGAGTCAGAAACTCAGTAGGGAAAATATTCCCAAAGAAAGGCTTCAGACCTCAATTAGAAAATGGGCAATGGAATATATATTTATGTACATTAGGTTAAAATAGAATGTTTAAGGCCTCAAGGTTTGTATGTTCCTGACTTGTCAGCATCAGGTAATTGACAGGCTGCTCAATCTGGAACTAGAATTGATGGACCAATGGACTAACAATGACATATGTCACTTGCATAGGCTGCAGTTCACCCTTCAGCTTAGTATGCCCTCTGTTCCACCTCTAAGGAACAGGTAAAGTGACGTTTTGTTAATCTTAGTTGTTTCTGGCTCTCACATCCCTGTAATTCACCATGAATACCCCTATTACCACTTTTGCCATAGTGAGACACAATCATATATGTGGTTTGCTGAAAAGAATTTTAGAAGTCAAGGAAAACTTGATGCGTTCAACAGACATTTATCTTCCCTTTAGGTTCAAAGAGAAACAAATTTTCTCCTTTTCCTATGCTAATAAAATGTAAGATACTGTCCCAGGCAGATGCCCCTTGATTTATAGAGAACTACCTGTATAAAAGCCAGTATCATTCTAAACTCCTTGAAGAGATCATGTATTTCTTAGTTACTTTTATAACTCAGTGCCAACACATAGCAAAGACTCAATGTTTGTTGAATGAACAAATGAAAGAATAGGCTATCTAATCTTTTGAACTGAGAAATGTCTTTTGTTACATCCATATTATACTATTATGTATTGTTTATGCACCCCACCCCACCCCCCCACAATTCACATATTGAAGCCTTAGTGTGCCTCTATTTGGAGATGGCATTTAAAAGGAATTAATTATGGTTAAATGAGGTCATTAAGGTTGTCTTTGATCTGACTGGATTGGTTTTATAAACAGACAAACCAGAAGGTTCTCTTGAAGCTCACACAAAAGAAATAAAACATCACTCAAACACACAGTGAGAAGGCAGCTTCTTATAACCCAAGAAAACAGGCCTTAGAATGAAACTTACCTTGTCAGGGTCTTGATCTTGGGACTTCCAGACTCTTGACCTATAAGAAAATTTTTGTTGTTTAAGTCACCCTGTCTGTGGCATTCTATTATAGCAGCCCAAGCAGACTCACATATGTGAATATATGTATACATAAAAATTATATACTTTGTCGTATATATATATATTGTTTGCCAAAAGAAGCCTCAAAAGTAAGGGAATTTTGGTATGTCTAATAGATATTCCTTCCCCTTTAGCTTTCATGTAAACATCATCTTTTCTTTGCTAACAAAATGTACAATATCATTATACACAGAAAAGCTTTGTTTTGTACAATTTTTTTTCTCTCTTAAGTTCACAATCTACAGTCCAAACTTAAGATGGTTTTTATTTTGGTGTATTTAATAACAAACCCATAACTTGAGGGTGATTTAACAAATGGCCAGAGTCTTTGTGATTCTTTTCTCTCCTGTGTCACATTCTGTTTGCAAGATGATTGTGCAGGACCTCTGACCATCATCTGAGGTCAAAATGAAAAGGAAGTGGTGAGGCTATATCCATAGTATGCCTGCCTTCTTACAGGATGATTTCCTAAAAGCAACTAGTAGATTCCCATTTGTCTCATTGACCATAATTTTAACAGGCTCAAATCTATTTTTTAAGCTGAGAAAATGACATTTAGATTTTTATTCCTATCTTGGAGGTGGCAGAGCAGAAGAGGACTACAAAAAAATATCTGTTGGGTTAGCCAATGAACAGTGTCTGCTGCCTAAAGGAAACAGAAGTTTGGACTGGCAGCTGAGCTGATTCTGGAGAAAGTCTTCCAGGCTTAATAATCCAATGGAGGAGTTTTCACACTTCAGCAAAGGCCTCCCACTATAATGCGACTATTGTTAATACCACTCTGATTACAATTAGCTAGGCTGCAAACATTTTGTTAGGTATCTAAGGTTTATAGTCACTCTCACCAGTTGCTATTACAACAAAGAACTACCCATCATTTATTAAGCATACATTGGCTGCACTGTTTTTTGTTGTTCTGTGATTTTTCGTGCAAATGACAAACATAAGAAAGTGGCAAATGAGCTGTTGTAATTTGAGACTGGCTTAAACTATGGTCATATGACCATATTATGCTCTGGTCAAGAACCTCCCTACAGCTTATTATTCACCAGCATTTCTAAATTTGAACTCCGTATTCCTTGATCTCCCGGGCATTTTTGTTTTTCTTTTAAAGAACAGTTCACCTTTTTGCAATCACTGGCTGGTGATGGTAACTGTTAGATCAAGTACCAGCTGTGATGAGTTGTCACCTAAGTATAGTCCAATATGTCACTCAAATCTTCATCAGGACAAAAATACATGTGTTCTAATGAAATAATTTAAATAAGGAAGATAATTGGAATTAAGAGAAAAATAACATAAAATAAAACTACAACTATTACTATAAAAACATAACCCATAAAATCCCACAAAGTAGCTGTAGATGAACTACAATTTGGCTCAGAGCTGTCCAAAAGGCATTGTCTATTTTATTAGTACTGGAGATTGAACCCAGGGGTGTTTTGCCACTGAGCTACATCCTCAGACCTTTTGGAGATAGGGTCTCTCTAAATTGCTGAGGCTGGCTTGGAACTTGTGATCCTCCAGCCTCACCCACCATTGATGGGAAGTAATAGCATCTTTTTTTTTTAAAAAAATTATTTTAATTAGGTATATATAACAGCAGAATGCATTTTGATTCATTGTACACAATTGCAGCACAACTTTACATTTCTAGTTTTACACGATGTAGCGTCACACCGTATGTGTAGTCATATATATACCTAGGGTAATGATGTCCATCTCATTCCACCATCTTTCCTACCACCATATATGTTGTCGAGGATGTGGGGGAAAAGGCACACTCATTCATTGCTAGTGGGACTGCAAATTGGAGCAACCAATCTGGAAAGCAGTATGGAGATTCCTTAGAAAACTTGGAACAGAACCACCATTTGACCCAGCTATCCCACTCCTTGGTCTAAACCCAAAGGACTTAAAATCAGCATACTAGCATCTTTAAGGTACTAGCATCTTTAAAATAAAAACAAATCAACTGTTTAGGAGAAGTATAGGTTTCACAACTACTGAGACCAAAGAGAATTGCCTCCTCTGAGTCCTCATAAAGGGTATACTGTGATATAACAGCTGCCAGCATTAAAAGCACATGCATTAAAAATATCAAGTTTTGATGATCAATTTCTCCTATCAGAAGTCAACAGCATCAAAACAAAGTGCAATGTAATAAAGGTATTTTTATGAAGAGCTAAAATATGGATCAAATATGTAGCTCTCTTTAAGATCTTCAGAGGATAAAATTGAGATTCATCTCTTTACCAGTAGGGCACCCAAAACTTCTTTCTTGTAAGTAATAAAATCCATTTCAAACCAGGAAAATGATTTTTAGATTTAAGGCCATTCTTCCCTTCTAATGCCACAGATAGCTGAACTAGATTACATACATTACATACAGTTTTCTCAATTAATGTTTGTTAAGTGGCTACTTCAGTGGACAGGTGAAATAAATTTTAAAATGTGAAGTTTTATGATTGCACTACTATTATGTGAACTTAATTCTTAATAATGTAAGTTTCAAGACTGCAAAAAGTATGTTTAATTTAGTTACATTTAACTTTTTTATTAATAATGATTACATATGAAGAGCATTGCACCTATTCACAAAGATTTTTCAAAGATATCAGTGATATAAAGTATAAGCTCATAAGGAAAATCAGACTCATTCCACATCTGTAAAATGCAGCAGCCTTTAAACATAATTCAATTTACAATAATTATAGGGAATAGGGAGGACACAGAAAGTGGAAGGGGAAAATGGTATTCAACTTCTGAACAACACAGCTACTGTTGTAATGAAAATATAATTTATTAACAAATATAATAATACTGGGAATAAAATGAATTATAAAAGTAAAAAAAAGTCAATTCTAAATATAAATAATGGCGGTTTACCTAGTCAACAGAGTTACTCTTTATCCACCTGTTCTGAAAAGTCAGAATTTCAAAGTGTAAGGTTCCCTTTAAGATGTGTTGCGCTATAATCTCTGGAATTTGGCAAACATCATCTTGCTTTATTAGCCTCAAAATGGTATGTATAAATGACTTAACTTTTTAAGCTTTATGTAAACTCTAGAATAATAATTTTAAAATGAATAAGCAGTTTCATTTAATATATTCATTTCTGTCTCTAAGTATAATAAACACATTTCTAATACACTTTGTGGAAAATGTTCTGAGCAGAGCATATCTGTGCATTTTGAAAAGACTTTAAATTTTAGGTATGTTGGTAAAAAATAGTCTCCTTTTAAGATAAAAAGTTAACAAATAGCCACGGGATATGTTGATTTATGTCAGTAGAATTTTAAACAACTACATCTTAGTATGTACATTAAGACATTAATAAACTTTTAGTTAGTAAAGAGAAACAAATGGAGACTTATTCTATTTCCTTAGCAAATGTCTCTGGTTTGAGAAAGCTTATGAAGTTCCACATAACAACTGAGATTTCAAAATGCTAGCATGATTACAATGCATATTAACAGCAACATGCAAACCAGTAGAAACAAAAATAAATGACTAACTTCAGACTATAACAATGAAACAAGACATTTTAAATAACTGTACACAAAGCTGAAATAAGCATAAACATTTTTCAAAAGGCTGACTCACAAAACCTAGAGATTTTTGTAATATGAAGGCACTACATAATTCTGCTAACTCCACTTACTAAAGAAATTTAAGTTACAATTAAACTTGGCACAAATGAGTTTAATTTTCATAAAGTGCATCACTTGGCTAAATACATTAAAAAGAAAATCAGCCATAACACAGCGTAACAACACCTTCACAGACACAGAAATAAAACCACAATGCCATGGGTTCAAGCCATTTAGGAAATCTGCAGTGTCTATGGCTTTCTGCTTTCTTTTTTTGTACAACTCCCAATTTCAAATATGTAGTGTATTTTCAAAAGAATATACCTTGATTAGCAAAGAGAGGTAGTGTTCTGAAAAAGGAAAACTCACTCAATCTACTGATAGAGATTTAAGATGATGATGTGGCAAATAAACTAGTCTAACATATCAATAAACTGGGACATTTATAAAATCTTTACCAATGAATTCACTTTTAAAATCAAGGCTATTTTGTCATGTTAGCTATTATATGATTATAGCTCTTTAAATGTTTTCCTTTGGTACTAGAAAGTCATTCTCCTCTTTTAAATAGTATTAACATTTCAAATAAGGAATTTTTATTTGGAAATGGCAAACATGTCAACATTTAAAACTCAACTCATCTTTACCCTTACTGTGATGTTCACTGATTTAAGCCATTAATGAAAATATGTCATTTCAGAGATACAAAGAAGTATACATCACCCAGATAGTAACATGCAACTAATTTCCATTTGACTAATATAACTGTTGATTATACACACATAAACACACACACACACACACACACACACACACACACACGTCTGGAGCATTATACAGGCAAAACACCATAATAATTTATGTACAGTATTTAAGAATGTAGACCTTGATAACAGAATTCTAACTAGATTTTTTCAGTGTATTAAATACAAAGCTGAATAGAAGACAATTAAAAGCAGCAATGAATATATTTCCTATCCCAATAACTTAAAAAAACTTTTATGTAAACTTTATATATATACATTCTTGTTCTTTTCGTCAATGTTTCATAGTCCTTTTTTTCTTTTTAAATGGTATTTGCCACTCTATTCTAAATTTGCTGAAACGTTGAAATGGAGAGCTGCTTGTGTTTTGTATTAGTCTTCTTCAGCGTTATATGCCAATTCTGCTACTTCTATCTCTGAGGTGGCATTTTCAGGTTCACAGAAGCTTAGGTGTGGCTTACTATCAGCTCTGTAAAAAAAGAGAACCATATCAATGAAGGGATTGCCATTCCACTTTATTAACACCTCCCTTTTCTTCCCCCAGTGCTGGGGATCAAAACTAGGCCCTCATGCATGCTACGAAGGAACTCCACCACTTTGCCACATTCCCCAACCTTCATTTCTTTTTTTTATTATCTTTAAAAATTATTTACCTTGAGGAAATACTAAACATTCAATGTAAAAGTAATAAAATACTCCATTAAAAAAGACAGAAATTAGTATTTTTAAGTTGTAATTATCAGGTAACACGTTTGGAAATGTATATTGAAGTAAATATATAAATAAATGTATTTTAAACTCAGTTCTCCCAACTACCATTAACAATAAAAATTTACTTTGTTGTTACCATAACAAATAAAATTTGCTCTCATAATTATAGTTCGACAATTACCACCAAAGTATTGATGATTACCTTAGATATATATGTAATAAAAATTCTATGTACTTTCAAATATATTCTCTTTCATCATTCTATTAAGGAGGCAGGGTGGTAGATATTATAGTATTCTATTTTTTGAATGAAAAGATTTACAAAACGAATTCCCTCTGTCAGAGGCCAGATATTTCAGGCATAGCTTTGAAAAAAAGCAATGAGAAAACACACAGGCTGATGGCAATTTTAGGGAGAACCTGGAACACCTATGGTCCGTTTGTTCAAAAGATGCAGGACACAATAATTCTGAGTGTATAAAGAATGCTCTTCAGAATATTAGAATTATTACTTAAATGATTAGGCTATAATAAACTAAATATTATATACCTAGATTCTTCATCCACGATATCTTGATCAACTTCAACTCCACAGGACTCCACTCGTAGGATCCGTCCACCTTCTACTCCTGATACATACAGTGATTCTTCAGCTTCTAAAGATAATGTTCTAAAGTATGTTACAGCAAAAAGTTATTTTATATAAATAAAATAGGTATAAAATAGTAATATGTTTATTCCTGTGAATACATGTAGCTTTAGTAGTCTTCAGTTGTTGCATCTAATGCAGTCACTTTGTCAATAAATTGCTCACCGTAAGAATCAACAGAGAAATTAGTAGTTAAAATTAAAAGGATTTTAAGCCTCAATTTGATATATGCTGATGAGAAGGTAAATATGTAAGTAACCCAAGAAGGTTTTCATATGTGAAAAGTTGGCATATATGCCCAGAAATAAAGATACTACTTAGGTTACAACAAATAATGTTTATCTTTGTTGAACCACTAGAGGTTGATTTTCCTGATGTCCCCCATCCTACAAATGTTCAGCCTTCTAAATTAAATCAAAAGACAATTTATCCAATTTACAAAGAAGGAGGCCAAGATTCTGTGACTTTAAGAATCAGAAACTTCTGAGATCATTAGGGTATGTAGCCCAGAGTATTAGGAGTAGAATTATACTACAAAGGCAAGTATCACAACACACCTGATTCTGCTCTCTAAAGCATTTATGTGAAGTTGTTTCTCATTGAGCAGTTTCTTCAATGATTCCACCTCTTTTTGTTTTTCAAGTAGTTCCCTCTGTAAATGGTAATTAGTCTCTTCTAAAGTTTCACAGAAAGCCTTAAAAAATGCAGAAAGAGAATAAAATTAATTACTGATGCAGTATTTTTCTTAAGTGCATTACTGAAGAGTCAAGAAAACAGATCAAAATCACAAGTATATTTACTCTCTTAAAATTTACTCTCTATACTCATCTTTTTAGGTCTCTATTATCTTGGCTCTCTTAGTCCCTAAGTATAAGTCCCTTTTCTTTAGAATTATTATAGTAGTAAGCCAGTTAGACTGAAAGTGGCTATATATTTACAAATATATTAACAGATTTTTAGAAATCATGTTAGAATACCATGAATAGACTTATGCAAATATACATGAAATTTTCAATTTCTAGAAACATACAAATTATCAAAACCGACTAACTGAATCAACTGTCAATAATTCAGTTCATTAGTATGTTCTTTAGAAAATTCTGCTGGCGTTTGTTTGGAATTATAATACATTTACTGATAAATTTGGAAAGTATTACCTTCATACTATTGAATCTTCCTATCAATAGATCTTTGCTTATTTAAGTCTTCTTATGCCATCTTTACACATGCAAACAAAAGCATTAACCCCCCCCCCCCAACACAACCCCTGTAACTTAGCAAAGGAGGAACAGAAGATAACTTCCTTAACATAAAAACAAAGAGAATAAACAATTTACAACCATCAATGGCTTACAGTAAACACCATATGCTAATGGCAAAATGTAGGATCATTTCCTTTAATATTAGGAAGGGAGAAAAATGATAATGGCTTCAACTTAACTCCATGGATCTGTGCTAATACAATGAAATGAAAAATATTAAGGACTACAAAAGATAAAAACATAACTGTTAATATTGGAGGTGATATGACTAACTATACAGAAAATCCTAAAGGATCTATAAACTAAGAAAGTATTTCAGCAAGGATGTGCCATACAAAATAAATATATAAAATCAATAATGTAACAGTAATAATTTAGAATATAATAAAACACCAATTATGATATAAAAAATGCTAAGAATAAATCCTATGGCTTTTCTTAGAAGTTTAAGAAAAATATTAAACCTTTATTGAAGAACTTTAAAAGAAGCCTTAAATAAGCAAAGATCTATTGATAGGAAGATTTAATACTATGAAGACAAAACCTTTCAAAATTAATAACTGTATTGTAATTCCAAACCAAATGCCAACAGGAGTTTTTAAGTTGATTCTAAAAGTCATATAGAAGAGTAAACAGCCAACTTTGAAGAGTAAGGAAGAAACTCCTTGATCTGCTTGATACCAAGATTATATATGAAGCTACAGTAATAAATACAGTCTAGGGATAAGAGACTATCTAGACAAAGCTGATTGGCCAAAAATAGTCACAATGAATGTTTTATGATTAAGGAAGAATTCCTAACTAGTTAAGGAAGGAGGAACATTTCCCTAAATGATATAGGGATGAATGGTCATCCATACAGAAAAAGCAAAGTCAATTAAAGGACCCAAGTGTGAAAAGTAGAAGTTTAAACCTATTAGAAAAAAAAATTAGGAGAGTATCTTTACATCATGGGTTTAGGGAAGGAAAAAAATCACAGAAAATATGACAAAGGATGGAACAGGAAATTCACAGAAGTCCCAAAGAGCTACTAGATAGAAAAGTTTTGTAAGCCAGTTGGTAATCATGAAATAAAAGGCTGACAATATTCAGTATTAATGAAAACATGGGACAAGAGGAAAATATATTGTGAGTGAAAGTATAACAAATTTGGGAAGTAATTTAAACATGTCATGGAATATGTTTATACATACACAACATATACAACAACCAAATGATTACACTCCTGAGTTGAATTATTTAGCGATTATTTATTAAGTTGTAAGGTATTTTTAAATAGTCCTTACATAAATTCTTGGGTTTCCTCCAATATTAAAAACCATTTAGTAAGGGGGTATTTCTTAGGGAAGATGGATGTAAGAGGAAGAAACTATTTTAGAATAGTTATTAGAAAAATGTGCTGATAGAACTATTTAGCTCTATTAATGAGACTATAAAAATGGCTTATATTCCTAGAAAACAAAAAATAAAAAAGATATATATAAATCTAATTAATTATATATATAAATCTAATTATTATAATGCTAATTAAAGGTGAATCTATGATGTATATAATTTTCTTCTGTGGCAGAGAGTAACTGTGCCTCAGAACTGGAAAAATCACCTAGCAAATGATCCTAACAATTGATTACATTAATTATCCTAATTCAGACTGTATTCTTTGCCTTTCTAAATTTCTCAAAATTAGGAACAAGAAAATCCAGCTCTCAACCTTTAGAATAACTGAAAATTGGAATTTGAGGAAAGAATAGAAGCTTTAATGATTTTAGCTTTAATTATCTGTATTCATAACATGTTTCTTTAAGATGATTTTTTATAATTCATTTCTAATTATAAGCTATTCATTAAAGCTAGTATACTAAGACTTCATTTTGTCCAATTATATTATCTCCATACAAATAATAGATTTCAATTTTTCCAAAGGAAGATAGAATAAATTTAGGTCCTTATCCTTAATCTTCTCTGTTCGGGTACATGAGAGGATAGAAATGACAGCCTTCAACAGGGAGTAAGAGAAGTAGGTTAGAGACAAGGTTTACTGGATTGAGGATTCCTTAGTCTTCAAATAAGCTCAATAATCCCACTCTAAGGGATGTAGATTAATAAATCATTTTGAATTTTTTCTTAAAATGAGAGGCTGCTTAAGGAAATACGCAGACTAAAGAGATATATCTCATTAAGATCACTAAATATTTTATTTTGAAAGAAAAGAACACAGAATTTCTTTAAATTTATAATGCAAATAAATCTGTGAGCTAGAAAAGAAATGATAAACAATAATCTTCTTTAGCCTAATGTACACTTAGAAATCTGACTTTCCAAACAAATTCTAGATTAACAATATGAACTGGAACAAAAGTGACCACATATTTCTGGGGAGAAAATATCACAGACTTAATTCAGGCAAGTTACTAAACAAACCCACATAATAAGAAAAATAATAAGCACTCTAGGGGGCAGGAATCAGAATCAAGAATTGTTAAAATATATTACCTAAAATGTCTGGTATTTAACAAAAAATTATGTGACACGACAATAAACAATGTAAAACTAAACATATTCAACAGAATCCAAGCAGTCCATAGAAGCTGTATTTAAATAACTTCAAGCATTGGGTATATTAGACAATGGTTTGTAAAGTGGCTATTACATATCTTAAATGAACTAAAAGCAATAGAATTAAAGGTATTTAATACTTACTAAATATCAAATCTGAATAAAGAGAAAGAATATAATATAAAATAAGCAAATGAAAATTCTGGAGTTGAAAAATCCAGTAACTAGAATGAAAAATTAATAGGAGGGGCTCAACAGCAGATTTAACAGGACAGAAATATGAATCCCCAAAATTGTAGATCAACAGAAATTACCTAATCTTAAGAAAGGAGAAGAAAATGAATGAAAAATGATTGAAGAAATGAATAGGACTTCAGGAATATGTGGTAAGACATGAAGTATATCATGAAGTATACCAAGGAAAAAATGGATTGAAAAAATACTTGAAGAAATAATGGCTAACAAATTCCCAAGTCTGTTGTATAGCACTAACCTATCAAAACTAAGAGGCTTATTAAAGCCAAAGTGTCATAAATACAGAGTGTCACACCTTGATACATCATTACCAAATTCTTCTGTGAATCTAGCCTACTTCTTGAAGAAATAGGCCACTTTAACATGTCAACTGCTGATAGATATTGAAAGCAGCAAGGGCAAAATGACTCAGCAAGTATATGGAAACAATATAATTAAAGGTGGACTTTTCATTAGAACAAACAGAAACCCAAAGGAGGTAGAATGACACATTCAAAGTACTGGAAGAGGACCTATCTGTAAAACTATCACTCAAAAATGAATAAAGAAGGTATCAATGTTTGAGGGCACAAAACTCTCCTATGTTATTAGTAGGAATGCAACATAGTAGAGCAACTTTAGAAAACAGTATTTGAGTTTCTTTAAAAAGGTAAACATAAGATTGCCATATGACCAAACAATCCTCCTCCCAAGGATCAAGTCAAGAGAAACAAAACTATTTCCACACAAAAGATTCTATGAAATTGTTCACAGCATTAGTCATAGTAAAACTGGAAACATCAATGTCCCTCAACCAGTAACTGTATAAACAAAATATAGTAATGAATACAATGAAAAACCATTCAATAATAAAAAGGAATGAAGTAATGATAGCCAGATGCAAAAGACTATATATACTGTATGATAATTACATACACACATCCACATCCACACATTCTGTATGATTCTATATATGAAATATCCAGGAAATATAACTTTGGAGAGACTAAAAGCAGGGTAAAGGTTGCCTTGAGCTGATTGCAAAAGCTTATAAGAATTTTTGTTTGAGGTGATGGGAATATGCTAAAACCAGATCATGGTGATGGTGGCATAGCTCTATAAATTTATAAAATACTATTAAATTTTACATTTATAATGGATAAGGAGCATATGAAGGGAGTTTTTGGATAAAGATCTTACTTCATTGATGCTGCTTTTTAAAAGCTACAGTATTCACACTAAAACACAAAGAACCGTCTCAGTTTGATCGAATACAACACTGCTAACCTATCAATTAAATCTGTTCCATTTAAATACCATTAAACATTTGGAGAAAAAACTTGCATAAAACGCAAGCTAATCTATTATTACCAAATCTTTCTGTGAATCTAGCCTACTCCTTGAAGAAATAGGCCACTTTAACACGTCAATTAATGTAATTTGAGTAGCATCAAGCATGAACTGAACTGATAACAAGACTATTACTTGTACTTCTGAAGATAAGTTTTAAATTTGATTTTAGCCGTAGGTTCTTTACTTGGATATGTGAATAGAAAAAACTCAGTAGGCAAATAATTCTATTAAATGTAGTAAAACAAAATTTCTAAGTTACTGTTTTTGAAACAGTTAAAGAAGACAGGATTTATTTTAGATCTTCATTGACTACATGATGCTTACGAATTTTAATTTTTTCACTGAACTAGGTCCATGCATTTCAAAGAAAGAAAACTTTGACTCAAACATTAAGAGCTTTCTGTGAAAAACTCTCATGGTCTGAAATGATAATATTTTGCTGCTTGCAAATCTAATTCAAGAAACAATGTAGTTATTGTACTGTATTATTTGTTCCTCTTCCATGTGATATATAATACAGCACTTACCCTGCTTTCTTCTAGGCTATCAAATGGACCTGGTGGATCATCCAGACAAAGAAATTCTCTCACTGCAAGGCTTTTCAAAGGTAAAAAAAATTAGCTGGGGTATAAATAAGTTTACAAAAGATAGCAAGAAGCAGAAGTTACTTTGAAGCTATATAGTATTCTAACCAAGTAGGTTTTCCTGATACACCAAAATAAGCAGTTGGTCATGTGTCTTAATATTAAGTAACAAAATACACATAACAATCTATGAAGGATACAAAATCTAAACCCATTTTCTAAGATCTTATAACATAACAAGAATCACAACTTTATTGCTACATACCAACTACAGGACATAAATAATTAGAATAATGGTATAAGAGACCAATCTAAGTAATGATTATTATTCTCAACTAGTAACAAAATCATTATCCAGTTATGAATAAATATAGTTTCTAATTTATACTTCACTTGTTTTCCTTTGGTGGATGCTTCTAAATAACTAAAAAGCATTTACTCTGAAACAACTGAAAGATTGTCCTGAGGTTGTTTATTATGTTAATTTACTTAGTTTTAAAACAATGTTATTGTTTATACTTTGTATTTATCAGAAGTAGGTTAAGAAGGCAGATAACCAAAACATTTTTTCTTTTTACTGAATTTCTTTATAACAAAAATAGCTCCCCCTTCTACCAAGCAATTTTTGGAGTAATAAACGACTTTATGTGCATGTCAAAGCATAAATGTGCAGTCTTTATTTTTTCATTTATAAAAGATAAGATTACGATTACTTGATGGGCTACATAAAGGAGATGACAACCTATGCTGAAAAGAGAATGGGACTTTTGAGTTCAGATTGTCAAGATAGGTTGATGATGATGGGAAGCTCAAAAAGAGATGAATGGGATTCTTAGTGAAATCTTTCCGAAAGAAAAACCAGTATGAACTAATATAGAGAAGTAGTGTTAAGAAAAATAATCCAGAAAATCCCAAAGACAGAACAAAGAAGAATATGGGAGGGTCTTATTTAATACATCAGAAGATGTCGCATTCAGAAAAGCATATTTTGGATTATAAATCTTAATAGCTTGATAAAAAAGGATACACATTCAGGGAAACAAAGGATTTGTGGCTTCATAATAATGGAAGCGATCTTAAATGTGATCTAGTTCAATCATCCACAGTTTTTGTCCCTTTGACAGGCTCAGCCAAGAGTATACTGAAATATTGACAGAGATAATGGATACTCAACCTCTTTGGTTTTTTCATAAACCATCCCATGAGTGAATAATGCTGACAATTATTTCACTCCATATATATACGAAATACAGTGTCTTTTCTCCCTGTAGCTTTTATTTATTGTATGTTAGTTCTGCTTTTTTCAGTAGGAGCATTTGGGCATTCAGAGCAAACCTAAGTCCTCTTTCACTTGGGAAGACTGAACATATGTCAAGAATGTCATCCCATTTCCTCTAACCTTCCATCTCCAAGAATCAGTAATGTTTTCACAGTATACTGCACACACAGAGCTTTCACATGCTCTATTTTAATTTTCATATCAATTATGTGAGGTTAGGACAGACACTGTATCTACAATTTACAAATAAAAGTTCAGAGAGGTAAAATGACTTGCCCAATGTCACACAATGCAAATGACAGAAACGAATCTTAAATCTGTCTTCTAATTGTAAATATGTGTCCTTTTCTACCTTTAAGTTCTTATAAGTGATGTTTTGATTTAACTTCATTTTTTCTCCTTACACGTCACTTCTCTCAAACATACACAACTTGTCTGTATACCTTTTTAACTATGGCCTTTAGAATCTTTTAACTGGTTTAAGAGCACAGAGTAAAAATGGGACTATCACAGTCTTCTGGTATAGATAGTAATTTCATCCACCCAATATTTATATGGGAGTACCCACTATTAGACAAAAATGAAATAAGTTGATCTTGGGCTTGAGAGAACAAAAATGTGGACGAAGCACTGAGAAAACAGCATTTGGTATTGAAAGAAAAATATGCCAAGAAGAATATGGGAGAGTCTCGCTTAATATATCAGTATATGACAATCCAATGTGAGCCATTTTCATATAGGTTTATATTTAGATATCCTCATATTTTAATAATGTTGTTATGTACACTAATCACTACAATTATTGGACTGCTGACAGAAAAGGAAAAGTGAGTAAAGCAGTAATGTATCTTTTTTCCTATCTTTAATTTACACTAGAAATTTGGCCAATATCAACAGTGATGATGACAGTGCTCCCTGCTGGAGGAATCTTTTTTTGGAGTGGTTGTTTTATTTCATTCTCCTCCCCCAAACATTTTTATGATTTCTGGCTCATGAGAGTTCTACTTAAATGAAATTCACTGGATTCCCTGACTTTTCTTCCATAAGTTCCAAGGTTATATTCCACACCCTACTTTAAATCTGAAGCATAAGAACATAATTTGAAACTGACTACAACTTTAATTTCCAGCCCACTTTTTCAGTGGTTCACTGTATTTTTTCTGCTTCAACAGGACACAGAAGTTAACATCCTCACAGTATTCCTGTCCAAGAAGAGGACAAACAAAAATCTCTGAGGAAAGTAGAATCTGAGAAAAGACTGAAACTGCAATACACTCTTATTTTCTTAGGAGAGAAGCTGTCACTGTTGCTTGAGAATCATTGACTTGGGAACTTTATTTAGATTCAATAATATCTACTGGTTGTTTAAAAGTGGCATGGGTCTACTTAGTGATTTTCTATACAGTATTAACACATGATTTATAAACAAGTCAAATGAATTCTAATAATACAGAAACACCAAAACATCTATATTAAATAATTGATGGATTAAATGGAAACATTTTATAAGAACCTTATTCTTTTTTAAAAAACTGTTCACTGATAAGTTGAATATAGCCCCCTAATTTCTGTTCTATTCTATCCTTGCTTCTATCTGATCATGACAATGAATAGATGATAAAAATACCATGATAAGAGTGAAACCTATCTGGCTAAGGGGAAATCCAACAATCCTGAATTAAAAGGCAAGGAAGAGGGGTTGGGGTTGTGGCTCAGTGGTAGAGTGTTCGCCTACCATGTGCGAGGCCCTGGGTTCAATCCTCAGCACCACATAAAAATAAATAAAATAAAGGTATTGTGTCCAACTACAACTAAAAGATAAATATATTTTTTTTAAAAAGGCAAGGAAGAATCATTATATCACTGAATTCCTCTTATTACCTGGATAGTATATCTGGGAAAACTATTTTAATAAAGCTAAGACCAGTTGTTAACTTAAACTGCCTGAAGATAATGGAGACCACAGGTGGTATCCTTCAGCATCATTTTTATTTTTAGAGCAAATCTTTACTACAGCTCTTTGATTCTCTTTAAAAAGTATTCTTTGAAAAAGTTTCACTGTGTTTTCAAATTATGCTCCTAATAAACTAGCTCTATCTATTGAACATTCACTTTATATCTATTTTTTCCTTTTATAGATATGTATCTGTTTACACTTCAAATAATTCTTTTTGAAGTGTTAACAGCTTCATGTGTTTTTTTATCTCAAAGATTGTAATATAGGGCTGGGGATGTAGCTCAAGTGGTAGCACGCTTGTCTGGCATGCGTGCGGCCCGGGTTCAATCCTCAGCACCACATACCAACAAAGATGTTGTGTCTGCCAATAACTAACTAACTAACTAAATAAATAAATAAATATGTTTAAAAAAAAAAAAAGATTGTAATATAAAGAAGCTCCCAAAGCCAACGTCTACAATTCATTAAAAGTTCAGTTAAGAACTAAGTAAAAAATGTACTAAAAATACTAGATGTCAATTCTGCCAAAAGCAAATTAGGCACAAAAAGTCACTGCATAAAAACATTACAGAGGGATTTCAGATAGAAAATGTTCGATCAGTTAATACTTGTCTTCAGTTTTAAGAAAATAGCAAAAAAATATGAAGTACAACCTTGAAGATTAAGGGATCAAGGATCATGACTGGTATCAGATAGGGTAGCTACTCTAGTAAGAAGGAACAAAGCCAAACTCTTATTAGAGTTGGCATAAAGCACCTGCTTACATTCATATTTAACTTTCTGATTTGACATATCAGCAAGAGTACATCCTCACATTTGTAATGCTGTCCATGCTTCCATGCTGTTACCATGCTGTCTATCATCCTGGCCCATTCTTCCTCCCTCTACCTGGTATTCTTACTCTTCAAGATTCAGCTTATCTAATAGCTATTCAAGAAAGCCTTGCTGGCTAAATCCCTTTTCTCTGCTTCTTGTATGTACTACCACCATAGCACCTTCATAAGACTTATGCTGTACTACTAGTATTCTGTGTTTACCAAGAAATCTGTTCCAATGAAAGGTAGATGACAGGTTCCTTGACTGCACAGATTATATCCAAATCAACGGTAGAGCACAAAATAAGCATTCACCAAACAATAAATTCATTAAAATGAATCTATTAAAAATATCAGAACAAATCTGTATCCAGTAGTATAAGCACTATAGACAATTATCAAACAGGAGATAAATTTAGTTTTCAAGAGAAACTCCTACTTTTTGTGAAAGATCAAAGTCTTAAGTATTAAAGATTAGAATCTGATTGCTGCTGATGCTCTAATTTCAAGATACACAAATATTCATGAGGAAGCACAACAAAATGAATAGGATGTAGGAAATCTGGAGTTGAAAGATTTTTTTTTTTAGAGGACACCTAGCCCAAATGTCTTATTTTGCAAATGAAAACACTAATTAAAATTAATTAAGCAATCTGCCTTAAATTATTTGCTACTAAGCCCAGAAAAAGGTTTTATATAAGGTCTCTGAGGTTCCATTTCATTAGGTTATAGTCTAATTATTGTCCATAATTTTCTTTCTACCAAACTAACATTTTGTGGCAAAAATCATTCAACCAACCTTAACAATAATGTGTTGATTCTTATGAGATGGCATTATATAACTGAATTTTTCTTTCATTTTATAAAAATATTAAGATCTACCCAATTTTTCTTGGTAATATATTTACATCCAAAACAACTCAGAGACATAAACAATAAAACTTCTTGTGAGTAGATAATTTGGACTGAAATGTAAAAGTAGTTAAGTTTTCTTCTTCATGAAATATAGAATTATTAATTTTTTTAAGCTAGGAGAGATTAAGTTGTCATCTAATCAAATGAATCCCATTTAATCATTCTCTCTTTAATACCACTGAGAATTATCTACCCTCTTCTAATACTTCAGGTAAGTAGGGACTCAGTTTTTAAAAAGGCAGGACATGCTTACATTGGACAGCTTGAAATGACAGTCCCTTCTGTCTTATTTGAGCTGACGGTGCCCTTCTCCTAACCCCTCACTGTCATTTCTAGTTCTATGGGTCGATTGTTTCAGACTCATATCTATCTTCCTACCCATAATCTCAATCCAATCTTTTAGGCTCTCAAATCCTACTCCTACTATGGGTATTACTTGATAATCACAAATAGCAGTAATCTCTCCCTTCTCTGAGTTTCTACCATTTTTATAATCCATATCATAAAAATCAGCAATTCATAAACTCCCTTCTGTTTGAACAGAAGCCTAATATTTCTAAATGAATTTTAAGACCAATGAGTATATCCCCTCCGATTTTATATAGGGCATGATACAGAGCAAATGCTTAACATACAGGTGATTGATGCTTCCTCTCCTCCCTCTTTTCAGTGCTAAATCACTTTAAAAAGAAACTTCTTATAATGAGAAAAAAAAATGCAACCTATCAATCATAAGAAAGAAAGTGGATAAAGTACCACAATCAAGGCATAAGTATAATAAGAATTTTATTTTGAATTCAATTTAAGTTTTCTTACTAGATTTCCTAAATGTCTGGTGATATATGACAAAAATAGGTAAGCCAATAAATGGGAGGCCCACTATGTTCTTTTATGTGAGACTTTTTAGAATCTTTAATACACTAAGTTTATTAAATAAAACCTTTTTCCAGCTGATTTGGTCAAGAAAACTTTCTTTTCCTGAAATGCTTATTTATAAATTCAACATGACCACTACCAATGTTCTGAAGTACACAGTTTTACAAACATCATGATCTTTAATGTTGCCATCAATGTCTAACATAATTGAACTCTACTCTTAATCATTAAAAAAGTACATCTGAATATTTAAGAAAGATACATTTTTGCTACTTAAAAAATGAAGCAATCAATAAATGAGTTACTTAATGTGGTTCATATCATTTAAAATTTGATTAGTAAAAATAGAGTACAGTCATTCATAGAATAAGTATTTTCAGCACAAAGATATAAAGGTTTACTGAATAAAGGAGAAAAGGGATAGGATGCACTGACTTCTTTGTAAAAGTTTTCTTTTATGGTACAGTATAAAGTATTTCTTCTTCAAAGACATTCTCTATGATTTTAATGCTTGTTAACTTTTATTACTGTATTATGTGCCTGCATTAAAAATATTTTTTTTATTTTGAGAATATTTACAAAATATATTAAAAAAATAGGTATTACTTAGTTCTCACCACCTAGATCACACACACAACTGCTAAGTATGCCATACTTGCTTCAATTTTTTTTTCTAATAAGTAGTACAATAGTGAATATCAACAGTTCTCTCATTGGAAAACTACTTATTGAGAACTGGCGTGTTAGCCCTGTGCTAAGTGAGACACTGGAGAATAAAATAGTCACATGACCTGGTGCTATGTATCTTACAATCTGGTAAGATAAACACAACCAAATAATCACAGATGTAACTACAAACTAAAGTATTTGAGAGTCATATACCAACCAGCCTTTCAACTGGTATTCCATGAGAGAATTAAACCCTACTTAAGTTATTATTTTCTCAATTTTTAAGACTGTCACATAGCTAGTAACATCCCAGGAGCGTAAGAGAAATTAATTAACTTATTACATACAATGAGTGTCTCCAGGAGGTGACTCCCAAGCTAGTGAAGAAGGGCTGGAATAGGCAGTGAAAAAAAGAGAGAAAATGACCTAGTCTTTGGTGGTGATGGGCAAGAGGTCAGTCAGGAAGGCCAGTTACCTTAAGTCATAAAGGTTGTGGTGAAATCTGAAGGATGTATTAAAGTTACTTAGGCCAGGGGTAGGTAGGATAGTAGTGTGAAATATTGACTTTCTAGGGAATAGCAAATTTGAAGGACAAAGGAGCAAGGTGATTTTGGAGAAAGAAAAAGATGATTAATATGGCACAGAGAAAGAGAATGAGGAATGGGGAGGAATAATAACATTTGAAGTTGGAAAGACAGACAGGTAGGTAGGGACCAGAAGTGTTTTATAACTGTATTATAAAAGATTTCTGAAAGGGGGTGAGGAAGACCAGTGGGAAGATTTCTAGAGTAATTAAGGCAAAAATACCTGCTTGGATTGGGTGTTAAGGCATCAATGGAGAAAAGTAGACATGTTTGAGTGGGACCTAAAACATAAAGGAAGGGATATAAGTAGATTCTGCAGATCTGGTAGGCGATGCTGAAAATTGGGTGAAAACAGTCTGGAGACTGCTTTTAAGTTTATTTTAGGTTTGAGGTAAATTTTGAGAAATCTGAGGAAGATGTCACAGAGATTGCTGCACATATACATCTGGAGCAGAGAGAAGGGGGTCTGGCTTGTAATTTATTATTAAAAGGAAAAAGAGCCATTAAGCTTAGGCAGCTCACATTGAAAAGCAAGCTTCTTATGTACACGGTTTGTGTCTTATGTACAACACAAGGCAATATACATAAAGACAAACTGAGAAAACGGTAGAAAAAGAGTTTCATCTTTCTTTTTTTTTTTTTTTTTTTTAATTTTTTTTTATTGGTTGTTCAAAACATTATAAAGCTCTTGACATATCATATTTCATACATTAGATTCAAGTAGGTTATGAAGAGTTTCATCTTTCTGAGAAAAACTGCTAGAGAGTCACAGACATATAAGATACGCTATTATAAATATTCTCTACATTTTTCTAAAATTTAATTCTAATTTATCTGAAGTCCCCAAATGAGCGATCTAGCTGATATTAAAGCAGTAAGAAATTTTCTTACAAATATATTCAGAATTGACTAATATAATTTAATTTAATGATCATAAAAATGCTAAATATTAAAATCAAGTTGATAGTTGGGTAGCTTGGTATGAGTATATAGTGAACTAAATTTTTTACCTCACTGACTTTGCAAAAGCTTTAATAAAAATGAAATGCCAAATAAAATCCTTAATTGAAAGAAAATCCCATGTAGAACTTTATTTTAGAAGACAAGTAATTATATTCCTTCTCTATATTATGTGCTTAACTAAGTATGGTCCTATTTTTATTCTTTAGTTTAAATCAGTTGTTGAAATGCTTTCATGATTTCTTATTTTAATTTGTTACATACCAGTTAGCAATGTCCTTGTGAGCTACTAAATTTTGAAGAAATGCTTGTAATCCTAATTGTCTATCTTCTAAAAAGTCGACATTATAGTTATCTTTAAACCAGCGTTTTGGTGGAAGTGCTAATCGAAAGCCTGGAAACATCTCTTTTAGCTGAAAGAGAAAGAGAAAATACAATGTTTAGTTGAATTATATTAATTCTAGAAAGTATATTTTGTTCATTATATGAAATTATTCATGAAGAAAGCTTAAAATAATGAAATCCAGCTAAGTTTTTTGTGCCTTATTTCTCTTCTTGATTTCTACCAGTCCTGTGTACAAATGTGTTTCAGTTGCTCCACATTCTTGCTTGAAGCTGGCACTGTCCATCTGTTTAATATCAGCCATTCCAGTGGGTGTGCAGTATTTCAATGTGGTATTTCTTTATTACATTTCTTTATTTGCCCCTCTTTATTGATAGCAATGTGGAATATCTTCTCATTTTCTTATTTATATGCATATATCTTCCTGGTGATTATCTATTAAAATCTTTCTAGCTCATTCCCCTTTTAAAATCTTGGGTTGTCTTTTTAGTAAGTGCCAGGAGTTCTTTATATATAATCCACATACAAGTATTTGTACTACAAATATTTTCCCTCAGACTGTGGCCTGATTTTTCATTTTGACAGTCTTACCAGAGCTGATGTTTTACATTTTAATGTTATCTAATTTGTCCATTTTTCCTTTTAGGGTTGGGGATGTAGCTCAGTGGTAGAGTGCTTACCTAGCATGTTTCAGGTCCTGGGTTGCATCCCTACCACAAAAACCAACCAACCAACCAAACCCACATACAACCTGACTCTCCCCCATTTTTTCTTTATGGCTTATGCTTTTAGATCATGGGAAATTTTTGCTCATTCCAAGGCTGCAAAGATTTTCTTCTTAAAAGTTTATAGCTTTAACTTTTATATTTTGGTTTATTGTCTATTTTTCTACATATTTAGCTTAAAATTTACTTCCTTAGGGAAGATTTACACAATCAGGTTATCTACTTTTATATACTCTGTTCAAGTTACTTTAACTGTGGTGGCACATAATCTCAAAACTTAGTGGTTAAAAAAATTATTTATTAAACTCATGGAGTCAGTGTGCCTGTAATTCATTCATACAAGGTACAGTGAGGATGATTTATCTCTGTTCTACAATGAATTGGGGCCACACCTGGGAGATTTAAAAGCTGGAAGCTGGAATTGTCATACACATGTATGATACTGGTTGTTGAAACCTTAGCTAGGGCTATCAGCCATAAGCCTAGCAATGGCCTCTTTGGATGGCCTGGACTTTTTCACAGCATGGAGGTTAGGCTTCAAAGGGGAGCATCCCAAGAGAGAAAGTCAAGATGAAATTATATACTTCATATGATCCAACCTTTAAACTCATAGAGCATAATTTCTGCTGTCTTCTATTGTTTCATTCAGGTTAAATGAAGGGGGAAGTAGATTATATTTCTTAACAGGCCTTGGCAAGATTCTGGAAGAGCATATGAATTGAGGACATTGTTGTGGCCATTTTTTGGAAAGACATTCTGCCACACATTGTCAAGTCATTAATATGTTTTTTAATGGTATATATCACATGTGAATAATACTTATTTAATTTGGAATTCTCTTAGTAAATGTTGCCTCCACACTGGAATCTTTCAAGGAGTTTTAAAAAAGTATGAATGATTGTGTTCTGCTTCTGACAGCTGGAGTGTGACCTGGGCACCATGATTTTAAAAAGCTTTCCCAGGGAGTCCAAAGTGTCATAAAGATTCAGAACCATTACTACACTGTAATTAATATAGCTGCATCCTCAATGTCCACCATCATGCCTGCTATAAAAAAAGTAGTCAATACTATATGTTCAATAAATGGATGAAATAAATCTATAAACATTCACATTTTTATATTTAAAGCTAAATATTACAACTATAAAAGGGAAAAAGTCCACACAGGATAAAACGTTAAGTAAAAATGTAAAATAACATTTTACATTTATACAAGTATGTGAAGTTACATGTGGGTAATATCCAAGTCTGGCCCTGATAGTCTATATAAACTTGGTTCATTTTAACAATGAACTGATGATGATTTTGCTCCTTCCCTCACTTTGCTCTGTGGACTGGGCTGAAAATACTCATTCTATATACAGAAGTGTTCAGCTTTGACATGCTGCTGTGATTTGTAAGTAAAAAAATACCGAGTTCTAAAACACCCACTTCTCATGGCTATATGTCTGTAACCAATTAATCACCAGCCTACTCTATAACTCTGCCTGGTCACCTCAATTCAGGTAAAGATACACATTAGAACTTGTTTGGGAATTTGCCTTCTGACTTACTTAGCAGAGAAGCTAAGCAAGACTATAACTCAAGAAATTAAAAAATAAATAAATAAACAGAAAGGGGAAAAAAAAAGCCCTCTCAATTTTCTATAGGAAATTTTTCTTTGTAACCAGTGTTATTTGAATTATGCTCAAAAATTTTCATAACTTCAATTAGCTATTTTTTCTTCACAACTATAAATGAGAAATGTAGGCTCCTTAAAGTCAGGAGCATATTTATACAGTTTCTATGTTATCTAATATTTCTAGGACAATGCTGAGCTCAAGCTACTCGTTTCATAAAAATTTAATGATTGATCTTATAAAAGACTGGCATTTTTGAATCCTGCCAATGAAAGTAGGTGTTGGATAGAGGTCTTTCTGGTATCTATAATAATCCTCCTCTATCTACAGTTTTCCTTTTTGTGGTTTCAATTCCCCACAGTCAACTGTGATCCAAAAATATTAAGTGGGAAATTCCATGAATATAAATTTATAAATTTTAAGAGAGAAAAGTCAAGATGAGATTATATACATTATGTGCTATTCTGAGTAGCATGATGAAATCTTGCACCATCCTGCTCCAGGGAGGTGCAAATCTACTCTTTGTCCAATGTATCCATCCTTTATATGCCACTTGCCTGCCTGTTAAGTCATTTGTTAGTCCTCATGGTATCAACTGTTGTGGTATTACAATACTTTTAAGAAACTCTCATATCGTGGATTAATGCTACCTAACCATGTCTATCTCATTTACTTCACTTTATTTTCATCTCATGTCAGCATAATATCATCTTACATAATCATCAGAAGAGTAAGTATAATACAGTAAGATATTTTGAGAGAAAGAGATCATATGCATGTAACTTTATTATAGTATACAATCATAATTGTGCTATTTTATATTAGTTTTCATTAAGTTTTTACCATGCTTTATTTATAAAACTTTATCATAGCTATGACTATAATAGGAAAAACAATATTTATAGGGTTTGGTACTATCTGTAGTATCAGGCATCTGCTGGAGTCCTGAAATGTATCCTCAGAGGATAAGGGTTGCTACTAAGACTGATACAGACATTTATTAATGGGTTAAGTTACCTAAATCTCAGCTTCCCTAAGACAAGCCTTTGAGCAAAACAGGTCAATCTAGAGAGAGAAAGAGAAGTAAACACTAAATAATAGTTGAGTCCTGAAAAGAAAAATAATGTTATAAAGGATTAAATAGCTCTGAGCTGAAAATGTTTGAAATTAGTTTGAGTGACAAAATGACAATTTTGTAAGAACCCTAAGAATTCCATTTAAGTATCTGATAACTGATGAACTGCTTTTATCTTCTTTTTATTTAGTTATTAAAGAAGCACAGAATTATAGAATCTTAATTCATTCGCGTAATATATGAAGCTCAGGAATAAGAAAATTCAGATAAATGGTAGAAATACATTAGAAATAAACTTTAAATATTCTGTCACATAGGTTAAACATCAAAATGTTTGTGTCCAAAAGTGGTTCAGACTTCAGACTTTTTTATATTTTGGAATACTTGCATATATACAATGAGATATCTTGGGGATGGACCCATGTATAAATATGAAATTCATTTATGTCTCACATACATATGTAAATATGTATTTATATCTTATATAAATATAGCCTAAAGATAATTTTATATAATATTTTTAGTGCACTTTGCACTTTGATTATGACCTGCCACATGAAGTCAGATGTGGAATTTTTTTGCTTGTAGTGTCATATCAGTAAAAGTTTAGAATTTTTGGAGCATTTTGCAATTTGGATTTTCAGAGTAGAGATGTTGAATCTGTACTAAAAAAGGGCATCCTAAGCACACTTAATAAAGGATAAAATAGTTTAGCATTCTATACTTTACTTTTTCATTTAAACTGAGGTTTTCACAGCAGCAGAAACTTTCTAGCAGGCAGTTGCTAACTCATATAAATGGACATTCCCAGCACAAAACATTATAAGAATATACTAACTTTTGAAGTTTTGAGTAGTTCATGAAAAGAGTAAAGAGAGGATGGAAAATGAGAGAGAATAAGACCAATAGAGCTTCCTCTACTACACACCAGTCAAAATTGGGGAATGATTTCCAGATGTTCTAAGGTTATCTTATTTAGCCTCTTAAAAGCATCATAAATCACTTGCTTCTTGTAAAAATAAATGATTTTTTTCTTGGCTTCCAAAATGTCAATTACCCCACCACCTACCCCATCTGGTTTTCCTTCAAGCTTTGTGGATAGCTCTGCTCTTTATTACATTCTAATTTCAATTTACTTAATTCCTCACTGTGAGAAATTTAGGAATCAAAAACAAATAGAACACAAACAAAATCATCATAAACCATATGCTAAGTATACTTAGAACTAAGCCTTTCCCATATTCATGACTGGTTACATAGGATTCCTAGAAATGATTACTGCATCAAAATTATGCAAAAGTTAATGGAGTCCTCTAGGAAGATTTGCATTTCCAATGCTGAATGATATCATTTAAACGTCTTTCGATTTGACAGGGGAAATAGTTTTGTATTTTTCTTTTCTTGAAGTAGTTGTAAATTTTTCAGAATTTATTGGTCACTCATATTTCTTCTGTGAATTACCTTGTTCATATCATTTTAATATTTTTTTCTTTTGGGCCCACTTTTTATTTTTAAGGGTTCTTAATATATCAAGATTCATTATTATCCTGTTTCATATGTGTAGTAGGCAGAATTCTAGATGGCTTTATGACCTTTGCCTCTGGTATTGCTCTTGTGATTTTGTTATGGTATAGAGCTAAAGGTGTTTTGCAGCTGTAATTAAGGTTACTAATCAGTTGACCTTAAGACAGGCAGATTATCTGGTTGAGTCTAATTTCATAACTTGAGACTTTTACAGTGTCTTCTCTGGCTTGTGGCAGAAGAGAAAGTTGGAGAGATTCAAATCATAAGGACTTGTGTTACTGTTGCTGGCTTTGAAGACACACAAGGAATGGAAAGTAGTCTCTATGAGGTAAGAATTACCTCTGGCTGTCAGCCACCAAGGAAACAGGGACTTTAATCCAATAAGAAACTAAATTCTGCCCACAAGTTCAATAAACCTGGAAGCTGAGTCTTCCCTAGAGATTCTAGATAAGAGCCTAGCCCAGTCAAAAGCTTGATTTTGAGTTTGCTTAAAACTAAAAAGCAAATCAAGCTGAACCCACCTAAATTACTAAATAATAAATGAGTGTGATTTTTAAGTAACAAGGTTTATAATAACAGGAGACAGGAATAACACTAATGCAATATGTTAAAATATTTTTTTATTCTTATAGTAATGATTTTATAAGTTGTGATCTTATTATATAGATCTTTGTCAAACTTACATGATTACATAAATACTTTTATATATTATAGATAGAAGTTAAGGCTATTATAGTAAAATGAAACAATTTTCTTATGAATTAGTAAAGATTTACTTGAATCACATAATTAACAAGGAAAAAACATAAAAATATAATAGATGTACAAGGAACATATAACTCCATTGAAAAGGCAAGTTGGGATTTATTAAAGTACTTACTTTGTCATTAAGCCTAGAGAAGTCAGTGTATCTTCTGAAAACTACCCAACTCTCTTCTGGGGTTTTCTTTACAAGTATTTTATACACCTACAGAAAGTTAGAAAGAATTAGATAAAAAAAAGTAAAAGTATTCAAACCTAATATATTAAAAACTTGAACTTGAGAAAACAAACTGTAACAATTATTACCCAAAAAATATGAGAAACCATTTAGATAGTCAAAAATACATAATAATCATCAATGGAGACACCAAAGCCAAAGTTTTTCCTTAAGAAAATCAAAATGATAAACTTGAGACAAAGGCTTCCTCTGTGCACAGTAATAACAATGAACTCACCAGCCTCTAAAATGTTTTATGCCAACATACGCATTCTAAAATTGATAATCAATAATGCTTAAAAAGAAGTGTTCTGAACTAATTTAATTTCTAAACCCAATAATCTATATAGCTAATTATTCAAATAAGTTTTATAATGCTTTAATTTTCAAGGCTGAAATATAAGCTTGAAATATTAAAAAACCCATATCAACGGTTTACAAAACTGCACATAATAACAATTATGCACAATGATCTAGGATATTGCATAGAAAAACATAATTAAATCAAGCCAACATATTTTTTAAAAGAATGTAACAAAAAAATATAGATTCTATTTTTTTAAAAAGTATAATTTTATAATTTATTATAAGGAAGTATGTAAGAAAATCACAGAGAAACATCTAGTAGATTTTGGTGCTATAGGCTGTATTAAGGTAACAAATAAGTACTAGGTATTTGTTGAATGAGTGAACTCTTAATAAGAGTAATTCTTTTATTGAAATCTGTTATGCAATAATTCTCTAGAGTTATGCTTTAGTCACATGTGTCTACTCAGTATTTGAATGTGACTAGTCCAAACTGGCATGAACTCTGAGTGCAAATACTTTCCTGATTTCAAAGACTTAGTGGGAAAAAAGATGTAAACATCTTTATTGAAATTCTTTTATATTGATTACACATTGAGGTGATAATATTTTGGGACATATTAAATTGCATAAAATATCTTATTAAAATAATTTTACCTGTTTCTTTTTAGTGTTTAACTCAGTTACTAGAAAATCTAAAATTACAAATGTGAGTCACAAGTGTGGTTCACATCATACATCGACTAGCCAGTTCTCCTCTAGAGATAAGTCCTTATTTAAGGACTGCAGACTGTTTTTACTATTTGATTTCCTCCCCTCCCATACAGACTGTATTTTCAGATTTTAAATGGAAAAAGCAGCAAGAGTTAAGGATATATCTTTTGCTTTGAAGTAATTGTCTTTCTAAAATATAAGAGTAGAAAATAAAAATCCCTAAATAGATACCCTTTTAAAGTCTGCAAAAAGTCCTGACCTAAGATAGTCACAATGGAGATACAAAAGAAACATTATTTTCACTCATTAAGACAAAAAAAAAAAGATAAATTAATTTGATTTTTTCCCCTTTGCAGTACTAGGGCCTTCCAAATACCCTAGGCAAGCACTATATCACCGAGCCATATCCCCAGTCCCAATTCAGTTAGTATGAATAACTAATGAATGATAAAAATCAACTTCATGTCTACAAATCCACATGACTTTATTTTCCTATTTTAGAAACTACTGCCCTGTCCCTCAACTACGCTATTCCTTACTCTGACTCCTGAATACTGCTATTCTCTAAGAAAGACATAGACCTTTGTTTTCTTTTCTAGAAAGCATTCTTTCTACCTTTCTCTACTTGTTTAAGTAATGCTTTCAGTGAAAACTTTATGTACTCAAACTTTGCGTTCTAAAAGTAGTTACCACTATGCTATTCAAAACAGCGTATACAACTTTGTACTATCTTTTATGTAGTCCTTGTTTGGACTTTTAAGTGAATTATAACATACAGAAGCACATAGTAAATTACAAAATATATATATAAAAGTACATAAACCTTAAGAATGCAATTTGATGTATTTTCATAAGTGAACATACCCATGTAACTAGTACCAAGAGCAAAAAACATTACCAACTAAAGAAGCCCTTAGGGCCTTTTTTCTAATCATAATCATCACTCATCCTAATTACTTTGTTTTTAAACATCCCTGGAAACACTACTGATACTCTACATATTGTCAGATCTCAATAGTCAGTCCTATACTGTCTTCATTAAAAGATCACTTCAAAGGTACAGTTGTAGTCATGTGCCCGCCTATAATCCCAGCAATTTGGGAGGCTGAAGCAGGAGGACAGCAAATTCCAGGCCAGCCTCAGCAATTTAGCAAGACCCTCTCTCAAAATAAGCAAAGCAAACATAATTAAAAGGACTAGGGATGTAGCTCAGTTGTAAGCACTCCTGGGTTCAACCCCTAATTAAAAAAAAAAAAAAGTTCTTGGAAAAAATTATTTTGTAAATCTAAGGCTCCCAAGCTTGGTATCTGCAACCCAGACTTCTCCCCTAAACACAATTTACACACAAAAAACTGGGGATGTGGCTCAGTGGTAGAGCACAGCATGCTAGGTTCAGTCCCTAGCATCACAAAACCAAAAAATAAACACATAAATAAACACATAACCCTATCTCCTCAAAAAAACACCTTTTCAAAACACCTTCATTTTATGTACAGTGAAATCCAAAGTCCTTACAACAGCCTATACAATGTAACTAATCCTTGTCACACTCCCCTGCCTTTCCCAGTTATCTCACTTCCTTTATCTCTCCTCTGTTGTTTACTCTGCTGTCAGCCATAAGGGTCTCTGTAGACCTCTCATCTGTATGGAAAGCTCTTTCCCCAGATAGTCTCATTTCTCACTCCCTGTTAGTAGTAACATCTTTTCTATGAGGCCAAGAGTGACAACCCTATTTAAATCCAAACCCCAGCTTCAGGGAAATTCCTTGTCATTCCTCTTCTGTTTCTCATTACTTATTGCCAAGTGACATACCAGCAGTCTTTTTATTTACTTTTTACTTATTCATTCATGTTGCTATACCACACTTACCAGGAACAGTATCTGGCACATAACAGGTAATCAAACAATGGTGAGTTAGTGAATGAACGAACATGACTAATCTGTCTTCCTCTATATTATAAAAAAGTCTTTATATATCACTGCTTTAAATAAGATTGCAAATTTGCATTTTCACACGTCACCTGTTTAGTTCGTTTGGGCTGCTATTAACAACACATCAAAACTGGATGGCTTATGAATAACATAAATTATCTCTCATAGAGACTAGGAAGTCCAACTTCCAGAAGCTATCACCTACTCTCTGATTCAGAGATGGTGTCTTATAGTTGTATCTTCAGAGGACACACAAGGCAGCTCTCTCTTTTGTAAGGGGACTAATCCTATTCATGAGGGCTCTGCCCCCATGATCTAATCACTTCACAAAGGCCCTGCTTCTTACTGCTGTCATCTTAGAGGTTAGGTTTTCAACATACAAATTTTTGGGGGACACAAAACATTTACTCCACAGCATTACCTCAATGAATGCTCATTGTTTCATAAGGAAGGGAAGACAATGTAAAGAAATGAGCCATCAGTTTATTATAATTTCTAAAACTGCCTTCCAAAAGAGATAGTTCCAGGCAGATTCCCCATCATATCACCGGTTTTATAGTTCTAAAGCTCTCTCTTTGTAAATAATGTCAATACATTTTCCTAGATGCCCTCTTATCCTGGCATAAATTTACATAAAATTTTACTGCAAGAAAATCCAAAGAAACAAATTTTGACCTCATAAGTGAGTTTAGCAAGGTTGATGGATATACATAAACATACACAGGTCCAAATACATATACATAAAAAGGTCAAAATATACAAATCAGTAATGAACAAATAAAAAAAAATATCTCTTACAAGAGCATCAAACATTACCAGAAATAAATCTAACCAAAAGAAGAAACACTTCTGCACTGAATCTACAAAACGTTATTAGAAGAAATGAAAGTCAATGGATTATGTTCATAGATTTGAGGACTCCCTATTGTAAAGTTGTCTGTTATCCCCCAGGTTTATTTATAGACTTAACAAAATCTCAATGCAAAGAGCCAAGAATGTCCAAGGTGATCCATAATGATGATAATAATAAAACTAGAGTACTTAAAACTATTGAGTATCAGGAACTATTATAAAGAATCACTAATTAGTATTGTGGAATTAGTAAATATAGGAAAACAGAACACGGAAGCCAACCCGTACATTTATGATCACATGATTTATGATGCAAGCAAAACTGTAGAGGCAGAGAGCAAGAGTGGTCTTTTTAACATAAGCCTGATTAATTGATTCCATATAGAAAAAACCAAAAATGACCAGACAAAAATCAATTCCAGACAGTTTGCAAATCTAAATGTTAAAGGCCCAGTAAAAATAGCTTACAGAAAAATACATGGAACAATATACTTATAACTTTGCAGTAGGTAAAGTTTCAAAAAGTGCTAGCCATAAAAGAAAATATTAATAAATTAGACTCAAATTAAGATCTTTCAGTTATAAAAATGGAGACTTCCCCAAAGAAAAAGGAACAAAATAATATTCAAATGGCCAAGAAAATTTGTAACAATCTTTAAATTAGTCATTAAAAACATTCAAACTACAATGTCTTATTCTACACAAACCAGAATAGGTAAAAAAAAAAAAAAAAAAAAAAAGATGGGAAAAGCACATGTGGAAAGGTGTAGAACAATTAGAAATCAGATACACTGCTTTTAATACAGATATGTACAACTACTCTACAACACTGTCCATTAATATCTTCTAAAGTTGGGCAAATGAACAAGCAATTTTAGTCCTAGATAGATGTTAAACAAAAATGTATGCTCTTATCAAGTGACAAGTACTAAACTGTTTACATTGGAAGTGTTTGAAAGAACCTAAAAAAAAAAAAAAAAATTGTGGCATATTCACATAAAGGAACACTATGTGTAATAAAAAGGAGCTACCAACATTTGTTGCAAGATCAAGGACAAAACCACAAACATAATGCTGAAGAGACCAGACCCAACAGGGTACATACTCAACAATTCCATTTACGTAAAGTTCAAAAACAGGCAAAGTTAATCTAGGCTACCAGAAAAGTGTTGGGCCTATGGTTACTAACAGAGACCATGAGAGGCTTTTCAGATGCTATTAATGTTCTATTTCTTGATTGATATGCCAGTTACACAGGTGTGTCAGGTTTGTGAAAATTCATTAGAGTAAAACAAAAGTTTACTATAACATGACAAAACTTAATGGTATAAAAATCATAAAAATTTTATATTCAAGAAATTATAAGTATAGGTTTAGACTAATTAACAGTAGTTTAAATACACAGATTAACCAATTTTTAACTTTCTACTGGTATGTAGTAGAGATCAATACTTACAGTAAATTTGGCTCTTTCTTCCATTACCTCATAACCCAGTATAGTAGGTGTAGATGGTCTATCTTCCCAATTCACTGTTTCATGACTTTGTTCTTCAATTTCTCTTGGTCTAGTAGAATACTCAATGGATGAATCTGTACCTGTAAATTTAGTCCTAACGAGAGGACTGTTACAGACAGATGAAGTACTATCCATATGATCAGGCACACTTGTCTGTTTACAATTACCCATATTTGAATCTTCTAATTGGCCTCTGGAAGAGTTTGAGCTTGTTGAGATACTGCCAAATGAAGAACTCCTTTGATTTCTGTTGGCTGTAAAACTGGAAGCAGAGGTTCCTATGGGCATAGGAACTGGGACATAAGGAGTTGCCATCCTCTTTTGGCCTTTGCAATAAACTTGTACACTGTTGAGTCCAAATACTCAGAGAACAACTAATATGCAATCCATTATTTTCTTCTTAGGAATTCACTATCTAAAAAATGAGAAAGACATATTGATAGTTTAGTCCTGGAGCATAATCCCAAAGAAAGCAAAATGTTCTTTTCAATTTTGTGACACTTTCATTTTAACTGAATTGAAAGCACACCTCAAAATATTTCCTTTGATCTCAATTCTCTAAAGGCTCTTGTTCTCAAGGTAAAGAGAGCAAAACCACTCCATATCCCCTTTCTTAACCCTCATGCTACATTTCATCCGTTTTTCTTATTTATTTTCTGGTGAAGTATTTCTGTAATGTTCATTTTGCTCTGACTTGATCCCCAGCACACCCCACCCCAATAAGAATTAAAGGAGAAAGAACAGTAAAGACCTTCCTGAAGCTGTATTGTAGGCTTTTCATCCTAATAATACTTTAAGTACTTTATATAGTATAGGAAAAAAGGAAAGAAGGGGGATGTTTAGACACATTACCTTTTGATTTAATCAGTGAAATTCTAAGAACTTACAAAGTAATAATATTGAGTCAGAAGCTTAGATGCTGTGTGGTAACTACAATTCTTAAAAATAACATTTTATAAAACCCATGATAGAATGTATTTTAAGAATAAACTCGATCAAATAATTTAAATAAAACCCAAAGAATATTAAACTTATATTCAACAAGATTAAAGTTTGTTTCACATTTTTTTCAGGTCACCTATAATCTTGCTTTGTAATAAAATTAGAGTACTTAACAAATCTTTAAAACTCATACTCTGTAATGTATCTCATCCAAAGAACCAGTATTTCTTTTATCAGAATAATATCCTAACACTACTTAGTGCTTTATCATTATTAAATAACAAACTCATATAAGAAATTTAATAACTATAGACCAACAAAATGACTATGCATAACAACAATGGATCTGCCTGCCCAACTTCATCTAAGCAAATCCACTAGTGAAAAAGGTAGTTAGAGTCCCCTGGACTTGTAAAGATGCTGAAACAAGATTTTTTTTTAACTCAGCACGTGGCTCTGGGCAACCATCCCTACTATAAGAATTTCGAAACTTGAGCTGCTGATTCACAGGTCCCTGGTTCCGCTTGATGACCTACCCAAAAAGAAGTAAATAAGTGTGATATCTCAACCTTCTCAAGGCCTGTGGGATCGCCCTGCCTTTTGCGGGAGCTACCTGAGGCCGCCAGGCTGGGGCAAAGAAAGATATCAACACAATCACTGACGTCCAAAGAACTGAGAACTGCCCCAGCGTTAGGAAGACTTCTTGTGCTCATTAAGAGCGTCTTCACTTTTGTTCTTGCTTGGAGATACTCCCTAGAAGGTTCATCTCAGTCTCACCTCGGGCAGGTGAGGTGGTCGGGGCAACCTGGTATGCGAGAGGAGTGGGCGGAGGGAAGAACCTGGGGTCGATCTACCCTAGCATCGGGTCTGCGCGGGTCTTAGGGCTTTTGGCTCCGTGGGTAGTAAGACTTGCAGCTCTAGGAGGTACCTGGCGACCCCAGACCCTCCCGCCTCTGCCGCCTGGTGCGCGCGCGACCAGAGCCACCCAGGGACGCCGAGGAGTCGGGGTTGTACTGACCAATAAGGGGTTGGAGAGCGGGGGAAGGGGGCTCTAAGGCGTCTCTCCACCCTCGGGCGCCACCCGCCAGTCATCCAGGGTGCAGGTGTCACTCGCAAGAGAGACCAGGACAGCGCCCGCCGCCCACTCCCTACCTCAGCGCACTCGGTGATCTTGCTCAAGCGTGCTTCCCGGTGACGGTTAAACTGGACTCTTCCTAACTTCAGCTTCTCGCCTCCTCCCACAGCACTGAGCTGCCTCACGTGACCGTCCGCCCTGATAGTAGTAGCTCCTAGCCGCTCCAGCCTCGGCCGGGCCACTGGGCCCAGGACCCAGGAGAGGTGGAGGGAGGGACTGGCCTGGGACGCCGATCCCGGAAGTGACGTCACCACAGGCACCGCCCCCGGAGGCGCGGGTGGAGCTGTCTGCTGCTGGTTCATTAGTAGATGGGTTAAATCTAATCTTGTGACAGGACATCTACACTCTCAACCCTATCTTTATTTTTCCGAAGTGAACTTCTGAGAAAAGGAGCTACGATACCTAGTTTGCCCCGCAGGTGATTAGATTTCAAGACCCATCAGGAGCTATGGCCAACGTAGGACCGTACTCGTGCTTTGCATCATGGGACATGTAGTCCTCACCAGCTTGGGCTAGTTCTAATGGGTTATTGATTGTTTCCAGAATTAGCAGAGCTTTAAGGGATGACAATTGATTTGAAGAGTGGAAAGATAGAACACTGAAATTTTATCTATCTGTCCTACTTAATTCAGAAATCCTTGATGGTAGAAACCCCTAAATTCTTCAACATGTTTTTCCCCCATCTGGGAACAGTTTATCACAAATGATACAATATATTAGGCCTGCTAGAATTGTTAATGTGAAAACTGAGGTTATCAGGAAAGCCATTCTTTGATAATTAAATCGCAAGATTCAGACGGCTGTACAGGACTGTTCATCACTAGAGATGTGCAATTGGATTTAAAGATTATTCCATGATTTCTCGGTCTTTGGAGCAGTACCAAGAGTGGGAAAAATTGATAGTGGTAACTTCAAAATGAATGTAGAAAGATAACCTATAGCATAATGATGGTTTTGGTTTGAGAGATATTTTACTTTCAGTATGAAGAAACATAAAAATAGAATTCTATAGAAACAGGGTACTAAGTTTTTTTAGTTTTCAGGATACACTTGGCAGTCTTGACCTCAGATGGCAATTATATCCTTCACTTACTTAAGTTAGTAAGGTAAGAGAAAAACAAAGGAAGGAAAAAACCTTGTAATATTTTTCTCAGTTATGAATGGGGCTGCAGGTGGTAGCAAAAAAATTCCTGTAATGAGGTATAGTTCAGTATGTAGGAAGCCAAGGAAAATTAAACTTCTGGGAAGTAAGAGCATACAGATACCACAGTTAAAAGTAGTATAAAGATCTGGAAAAGATCATTGAAATTGTCCAAGAAGAACTTTTTATTTTTTAGTACTGGGGATTGCACCCAAAAGGACTTAATCACCAAACTACATCCCTAGCCATTTTTATTTTTTATCTTAAGACAGGCTTAAGGCCTTGCTAAGTTGCTAAGGCTGGACTCAAAATTGTGATCCTCTTGCTTCAGCCCCTGGAACTGCTAGGATTACTGGCATGGGCCACTTCACTCATCAAGAAGAACTTTCTTCACAGATTATTGAGTGAAGCATAACAGACTATCATACTGTATGCTTTATCTTCTAGAATACCTGTTATTGACAAATGTCTACATTTTACTTTCACGAAATAACTAAGTAGCTGTAGTAATCAATGAAGAATATCCTGTGGTTGGTCAAAGTGAAAGTTCCTGCATTATCACAGACCATATTTGATAGCTACTCCCTATATTTGAAATTTTTTAGTTAAGCTTATGGATACTTCTACATAGTATCCACAATCAAATTGAATTGCTTATATTTTGACTTATGGAATAACAAAATATTATTTTTCTTCCTTCACTGTTTAATTTTACATAAATTATATATCCCTGGAAAGCCATTTTGAGCTCTCCCAAGATATCATTTTATACAATGATATGTAGTTTTTGATAACTGAAGTGGGGTTACAGGAAGGAAGAGGTAAAAATTACAGCAGGAAAAAAATCATATGCAGTAGATGAAGTGACTTCCTAGATCCAAACATTTCCCCTTCTCAGGAATTGGTATTTATTTTGTAAGGCTGGGCCTCTGGTTGCCATGTTCATAATATGTCACTCTTGGAAAAAAATTTTTCATTATAGTTCATTGTGCCAAAGTGGAACATTTGACCCAAGTTGTGTCCAATAGGTGCTGTTTCCTAGGAATGAAAATTTGGGCGGTTCAGGAGGGAGGTTGGAAGGCACAGGAAGTAAAATCAGAATAAAGGAAATTTTGTGATGAGAAGGTACATGGAGTTCTACTGCTAAATTCCCTGGAATTAATCTGATCTCTCTGCATGCTTTACATTCCTTGGACTCTATGAGATAACCTAGTGTTCTTTCAATATGTTAGCTTTTTGATTCAATGTAGCCGGAGTTGGTTCTTCTGACTGAAACCAAAAATACAACTAAAACACAATGAGGAAACTGAAAATGAATAGTAGATATCTACAAAATGCCTTTCTGGCTTTTGCAAATAGCTGTCAACAATTTGTAGTCTAAGGTTTTAAAATAAAGTATGGCGTTTCATAATCTGATGTGTGTTTATAAGTTAAAAATTCCTCAATTACAACTACAGTTATGTAGGTATAACTTCATTAATTATTTTGGTTTCACTTTATATATTCCCTAATTCATGCATTTTGTTTTCTATAGGCAGTGTTTCTTTAATCTTAATATTTAGTATCTGTATTCCACTTTCCCTCTAATTCCTCACTGCCATGAAAGTGAGAGTACAGAGAAAGACCCACTAATGATCTATTTTTAGAGTTAAGGGAGGTAACCAAAGTAGTAACATGATAACATGACAGCTGAATTTATCTCAATGAACCTGTGACCTATATATTTCCAAAATCTAGGGTAGGAATATATGGCATTTATAATAGCACAGAAATGACATTCTTCAATACTGCCCATTGATTAGTGATCTTTGACTCATATATTTATTACATAAAGAAAGTTTTGACAGCATGTTTGGAAATCCTGGGTACATAAAAAATGTGATCAGAATTATTCCTGGAGATCACAGTCATAATCTCAGAACTGAAAGGAAGTGTCATGACCATAAGGATAAAACTCCATTTTATAGCTAAGGATTCTGAGGAAAACAGAGGATAGGGCATCTGCCTGAGGTCATAGAGCCAGTGAATCCTTGTTAGTAAACTAGTTACCCTCTTAGCATACACAATAAAACACCATTCCCTAAGTACTTTTATACTCTGTCAAGTCCTATGTGTCTTTCAACTTTCCAATATGTAGCTTCTGGTATATTTTCAGTTGGTGTTTGCTACCTGGGAAGTCTTCCTGGATTTTATGTATGAGAAAATGCTTGCACTAGGCCTTTGGAGGTCAGTAGGAATTGGATAAGTAAAGAAGGAAGGTGGAGCACATCAGGCAAAGTTGAAGACTTGAGAGAGAGAACATAGCAGAGGTGGGGTGTTGTGGGACCAGTAAGAGACAGTCTGATTGTTCAGAAAAAAGGGATATTAGGAAATTGCTAGAAATAAACATGAGCTTCTCCTTATGTCAAAAGTCCATTTCAAATATAATCACATCAGCAGTACCTTTCTGTTTCTCTCAGATGGTATTAAATAAACCCGTTCTCTATGACACTACTGTACTTAATTCATGAATGGAGAAAATTATTACTTTCTATAATAAGTACTTATTTATCTGTACAACCTAAGGGGCAAGATCATGTATTAGACATCTATGTGCTGATAGTAACTTGTTTTGCTATCTGAATGAGGTATAGTCCCCACAATTATTATTGTTTTACAAATAGTTCCCTGTACCTATTCAAGTTCACTGCAAGATCCCTTAGGCATTGCATTTTCAACCCCTAGTTTAGAGAATAAAATCCAAATACTTTGAGTAGGCCTGTATGCTCCTTCATGAATTGACTTCTATGGCCTTATTTTCTTCAGAATAATTAGTCAGCTAGTTAATCAATTAACTAGCCGTTTATTAAGGACGTGCCGTATGCAATAAACGTCAAAGTCCAGCTGTACCAGTTATTTCTCAGTCTGAGTCTTTTTTTCCCTCTTTCCAGCATTTGATACTTTTGCCTGTAATTCTCCCTCATTCTATTTAACAGGCTTAGGTGTAGGCGATGTGCTTTCCAAAACAGTGTCCTCTCTCCCTCCACCATGTCCTCAGAGACCTCTCTGCAAGCCTCTGCTACCAACTTACTCCCATTGTATATCATCACTTCCATGTCTGCTTCCTTGACAAGAACAAGAGCTTCTTGGGGCTGAGACAGGTTCTTTTTCTTTTTCTATGCTGGCTGGAAGAATCTCTGGCACAGAGTGTGGCTAAATTGCATGAGTAAATGAATGAATAAAATTTTTTCATTTGTTCAACATGGTGGTTTAATACAAGTAAATATAAACACACACATTCTTTGTGGAATTATGCTTTGAAGAAATGTTAAATGGAAGCTCACTGTATAAAACAAATGCAAGTGAAGCAGCTGTGGTTGGAGAGAAAGGATTTCTTTAATTACTGAGTGATTTGTAAACCATTGGACTAAATAAATTATTTCTAATGTCCAGTTCAAATCTAACACTTTTGAGTTTATATCTATTACTTGAGACCTGAAGTAGAAATCAAAACAAATACCATAGTCTAGTTAGCAGCACAAAAATCCATAAAAGGCATTAGGCAAAGCAAAAACAAAATTAAAACAACAAAGAGCTAAACTCCTGAAATTATACAAACCAGTGAATCAGACATTATTGTATATTTAAGTCTTTGTCTTAAATAAGTTTGAGACATGCTGAACTCCTGGTATGTGAGTAAAGAATGAAATCTGTCATCTGAATTCCTAGTGCCAGGTTTTACAGCATCTGGATTTGCAAGAGACCCTTGTGAAGATGCAAGAAAGTTTCAAGGTAAAAAGCAGAGCCTTGAGGGACAATAAATCTTCAGTCAACACCATGATTCCTGCTTGTCCTAGGCAAGCCTGATACCTTCTCAAGGGGGACTTAAAACATTGTTCTACACCTAAGTCTTTTGTTTGGGTTACCTCTGATTTTTTTCATTTGTATGGGGTAACAATAGTCCTTTCCCATGGGATTGTTATAAAAAGGAAAAGGATGCTTGTTAAGTGTTTAGTATGGTGACTGGTAAAAGGAACAATAGCTATTGTCATTGTCTC